GACAAGTCTTCATTGTTTGGAAGGGCATTCGCCTTCTACGGTAACATCAGAAACCCTTTCTGATAATAGAAATAGTTATCGTTCGTCACTTGCAATGGGGTTGGAGTCACCCGCTTTTGTTGAGAGGTAGCATTCTAAAGCGCTCTTATGGTTTGCGACCACTTTTAATTTATCGAAAATGTTCGATAATGTTCTAATTCAATATGTTAACACACATGTTAGAAGGTCCCCTTTTCACGCCTTTATGCGTATTGGGAATATAGGGCTAGATTTATATTTATATAGACCGATCTGCACTTGGTGGGTGATGTATTCAGCATTCCTCAGAGTGTAACTCTAAAGAACGGGAGACAATGTCTCCCTTCATTTATCTGTCTGTAAATTAGTACACCATATAGAAGACAAGGTATATAGTTGAGATAGATAGACACTACCACACATAGATCATCCTCTCTCCACCCTCACATCTGCACTCACAGACATACAATGTATACAGTTATTACCTATATATATTTCACGTCTCCACAGGCTGTTCACTACACACCCACTGTGTCTGTGTCAAACACACCTTTGACTCAGAGCGTCTAGCTCTGACGTCACAGCAGTTCACTGTCAAAAGATGACCCAGATTCCAAATTTCTGCTAGGAGGCACAAAACTGTGTTTGTCTGGTCAGAGAATAATTACTTGTAGGGTTTAATATCTTTACAAATGGTGTGGGTTATGTAGAGCACAAACTATTTAGTCTGCACAGGGAAAGGTTTGATGTTCAGAGCCTGATCTCTGGACATCAAGAACGGTCGAACTCTGTGCGATCACACAGCTGAATCTTCCTTCTCTGCAGCAGTGTCAAACTTTAAAAAGACATATATTATGGTACTCGTAAACTATAATCAACTTACCCAAGCTTAGGAATTCTTCAAAGATAGAACTGGTACTTTTGAATGTGCCAATTTCTTCATAGACTGTATAAACGTTTTGATACTTTGGAGATCAGGTGAAAGAATGCCGCTCAAAACTAAGCTTGACGTCACTAGGAAAGAAGTCCCTGATTCATGCCCATGGAGTAAACTGGCTTACAGGAATTTCTGAATTAAACACCAGAAATCTTCAGCCCACAGTTGCAAGTTTGAAAATAAAGATTTATCAAAGCAACTAGAGGGTCTAGAAATGAATATTTCACCAGATAAAGGTATATATCAATATAAGGGACTATATACCCCTCCGGACGGGTTTAAGTTTGAAAGGTGACTTGCCCGCTAAGGAAAGTCAGCGTCAGGTCTCGTCCATCGTGTAGGGTTGGCTGTTCACTCCACGACAGTATCCAGAGTGATTCTTGATGATTTCGTTTGGACTTCCAAGATGTTCGAATTTTGAAGCTTTCGAACTCAGAGGCACCATTGTATTTTCTTTTAAATCTGCAGGCAATGAGGAGGCTAACAGAGTAATTGCTGTCTTTTTGGGGACACCAATGTTCTTAGGCGGTTTACTAGCCCTGCTACTTGACACTACTGTCCCTGGTGAGTAGTCTAGTCTGTCTTCTTCGTCCCTTGACTGTCATAATCAGCTGTATCATTATCATTATCATGATTATAATCATTATAATCTTTATCACAATCTTCTTCTTCGATAGCAGAAAGAACCGTGAATACGAATATGTGGAGATCAGGCACTGCATGGTTAACACACATTTTTGCTTTTCTGTGCAAATACAGAATTCTTATTAACTAATGGCGTCTAGAGTTTAATATATGCCTTATTAGATCATTTATAAATATATACGGGACTAGGCATGTAGGTCAGAAGATTAGAGCTAGAAATGAATTGCAGACTAGAAAAAGATTTTAAAAATCTGCATTTAAAAATGTTTCAGTGTTTCTTATCTTCTTTTGTTTAAGCCTTCGCTTCTTCCTCCTCTTCATCTATCATCACAACTACCACCACCACCGCTACTTTTTCTTATTCTTGTTATTGTTCTTCTTTTTCTTGTTTTTTTTTTTTTTTTTTTTTTTTTTTTGTTCTTCTTTTTCTTCTTTTTCATCATCTTCTTCTTTTCCTTCTTTTTCTTATTTTTTTTTTTAAATCATCGTTTAAGTTTGTTTTTAAACCATACTTACCATCATCATCTTCGTCACATGAGATACCCTGATCTCTCCTCCAACATGCATCATCTGCTCATTCTTCCTCCCTCAGATGTTGTCAGTGTCAAAAGACTATGTAGTTTGTGATGTGTCCCGCAATATCAAAGCCCCCACTACTTACACTTTTCTTATTCCACCCCTGTCACAGGCACCAGGGAATCCCGAGGCATGACGCAGTGGGATAAGACCCATGCGACAGGAGACACAGACGTAGACGATGGAGTCTACAGCTGGAGCTTCTATCCACGCCTACAAAGAGTGTTTCCTGTACTTCGCTATCTCCCCTTTCTACCAAAAGCAGTAAACTTTCAGCGAACAATAGAATACAACGTACACACAGAGAAAATGGTGCCGTCATGACAATAATATATTGTCAAAACAATGTTTCCTGTTGTGGACTAAAATGGTGACGACATAAACAATATATTGCAAAATCTATTGTTTGTGTCCAGCCATATCCAGACTAATGTTTTTGCTTATAATAGAACTAAGGCTGCCAGGTCGACCCGGCCTTTGACGATACAATGAAATGACCTGGAAAGTCAATGGGCTGGCGTGATGCCATCTACTCCCTTATCCAGTGTCGATTTGGCTTATACAACAATATGAGTCTAGTAACTATGTCCAATGCGGCATTAACTTGAAAAATGCATTTACCCCCTCCCCCTCTTTTCTCTCCATCTTTCGCCGAATCACATTAACTGCCTGTCTGCTTACTCAGTAATTCGTGTGATGGAACAGTGAAAAGATTTATTTTTGTGATTGCATGTTGGTGTGGTTTATGTGTAGGTACCAGATGCAATACATCTAAACATTTCAGTTAATGAAGTGGGGAATATATTGTTTGTCATCGTATTATTTAAACTGATAAACGACCCAGTATCATGTCGCTCAAGACGATGCAATCAGCACTTGCGAACTTGCTTTATTATCATAAGCTATTGATACTTCTTCTCCTTCATCTCTAGTCCTGTCTTGCCATTCAGCCTCAGGTTTTGAAGAGGCACTGGGTGATAGACTTGATATGTACTACGAGGATGTTGGTATCAACGGCCTCGGACATTTTATCTATCCATGGTTTTCGTGGTCGACCTCTATCAATGTGATGTCAGATGCATCTTCCTTTTTGTCAAAATGTTCTTATATCAAATATAAAACACAGCAAAGTAAGTTAACTGTGATTGTTGTTGTTGTTGTTATCGATTCAGCGGTGCATGAGCTTTCGCCCTTTGGCCCAATGCCATGTAGTGGAATTTGCATGTTTTCACAAGCTGTTCTTTTCCTCCGTACAAGGTGTTCCACTTGTCTGGTCTCGGAGGGAGTAGCGTTCTTCTTGTCTCACTGAGTTCTGGGCACTCAAAGAGATGGTGTTCAACAGTTTCGTAGGGGTAATTACATAGCTGGCACTCTGGGAAGTGTTGTGGCTGTATTCTGTTTAGGTGTCCATTGAGTGGAGTATTTTGCGTTCTAAGTTTGAAGATGGTGGCCTGGTCCCTTCTTGTTAGGTGGTTAATGCTGTCATTAGGATCAGGGCCAGACATATGTCTATAAACCTCTCTTCCAGTGTCTCCCATGGCCCATCTGTTCAACCAAGTCTCTTTGTTTATAGCTCTTATCAGTGTTTTTGCTGTCTGGAGGGTTGTCGCTGTAGATGGTTGTTCTTGTGTTGCTCCTTTCTTTGCCAATCTGTCAGCTCTGTCATTACCTGGTGTGCCGGAGTGACCTGGAACCCACTGCATCACTATTCTGATGTTGTATGAGGTAATAAGCTGATCAGCATCCAGGATTATCTTGGCTATATCAGTTCTGCAGCGTTCACTGCCCTCCAGAGCTTGAAGGGCAGACATTGAATCTGTGAAGATGACAATATTTTTGACCTTTGAAGGGTAAACATCCATTACGGTCTTTAGGTGGTATACTGCTGTTTCCAGTGCAATTATTTCAGCTTCATAGTTTGTACAGAATTCCCCGCATGCATCAAAAATCTCTTCAACAGATCCATCGGGATAACCTATGTAGATTCCGTAACCTGCTTTAATGGTAGCTTTAAATGCTGATCCATCAGTATAGACATGTATCCATTCTTGGGGGTAAGAATCAACGGTCTTTAGTGATGAGTTCATAAGAGCGATTGGGTCAGACTGTTTGGTTTCCTCGCCTACCAATTTAGTTCGGACTTCTGGAGCTTTAAAGCGAGCATGTGGTGGTAGGTTTCTTGCAACATTCTGAATTCCTTGACGTCTTTCTGGGAGGTGGTATCTGTCCTGAATTTCATTAACACAGTGTAAAACCGATTTGTGCTTTATTCTTTGTTTGTATTCCCAGTTTTCTACAAGATGTCTGTTAGGATGGTTACGATTTGTCCTAACGCGTCTTTCATAAATTTCTAATGTGGCTTTTTCTCTCCGCAACCCGAGGGGTTCCACATTTGTATGGATTTCACATGCAGCAATAGGTGTAGACTGCATAGCTCCGCAGATTAATCGGAGGGCATTATTTTGTACTCTGTCAAGAGTCTCTAGGTTAGTTTTGGAGCAAGTTGTAAGCAGTGAGTTGTTGTACTCTATCACAGAGCGAACATATCCTAGATATAAGCCCCTCAGAGTTTCCTTGTCTGATCCCCATGATGTACCTGCAAGTCTCTTTAATAACTGTTACCGCCTCAATGCCTTATTCCTGATGTTTTCAATATGGTTCTTGAGGCTGAGCTGCCGGTCAAGTGTGACTCCAAGGTATGTGGGATGCTCTTCTTTCATCACTTGGTGTTTGTCTAACCTCAGGTTAATATTCTTCCTTGCTACTTGGTGGCTTTTGGTAAAGATTGTGTAGACCGTCTTTGCACAGTTAACCTTGAGTTTCCATCTTTGGCAGTACTCATGCAGTCTTCTAAGGTCTCCATTCAGTCTTTGGGCTCCACTTTCCACATTTTCATGACTCTGCCATATTGCTAGGTCATCAGCGTACAAGGCTTTTTCGGCTTTGATTTGTTCTGGCAGGTCATTGATAAAGATTAGGAATAGTGTACAGCTCAATGATGAGCCTTGTGGCAAGCCCTCCTCCAAGACTTCTTTAGAAGAGATTGCGTTGTGCATCTTAGTCTGGATTGTTCTATCTATCAGGAAGTATTTCACTCAGTTATACAATCTGCCATATATTCCTATGCTCATCATCTTCATCAGGAGACCTTTTCTCCATACTCTGTCATAGGACTGCTGGAGGTCGACAAAGACTGCCACTGTGTGTTTCTTATTCTGGAAGCCATCATGTATTCTTTGTGCCAGTCTGAAAAGCTGGTCTTCTGTACAGTTGTTGGTTCTGAAGCCTGCCTGTTCATGGCATAGAACACCAGAACTCTCAAGGAACCAATATAAGCGCCTGTTTATCATTCCTTCTGCAACTTTGCCCAAGCATGATGTTAAGGATATTGGGCGGTAGCTTTTGGGGTCATCTGGAGGCTTTTTGGTTTTAAGAATGGGGACGATATATGCATTCCTCCATGCCTTTGGAAGTTTGCTTGACTTCCAAGTTTTATTAATAAGCCTAAGAACTACTTCTCTCCCAGACCGGCAAAGATGTAGCAGCATTTCGCTGTGGATCTTACCTGGGCCTGGGGATTTTCTAGGTTTTAATTTCTTCAGGGCTTGCTCTAATTCATCCATGCTAAATTCATTTTCAAAAAGGGAGTCGCTGGTTGTTGGAGCTCTCTCTTGTTTCTTCAACTGAGAGAGCTGTGTTCTATTGAGTTCTGACAGCTTACCTGCTCTGTTAACTGAGGCAAAATAATGATTGAAATGTTCTGCTTTCTTCTTGTCTTCAGTGATTGTCTTACTCCCATCTGTCACTGGTTTTGGGTTCACCCTTCTACTTTCTCCGGAGAGGTTTTTAACTGAGGTCCATGCTTTATTTCCATTCTGTCTAAGGTCTAAGTTGGAGCAAGTTTCTGTCCATTTATCTCTTTTAGCCTTATTAACTACAAGCTTTACTCTGGCACATGCTTTATTGTATTGGATCTTTGCTTCTGTTGAACGTGCAGTTTCGAGCAATATTCTTGCTTTATTCCTTTCAGATATAGTATTTTGAATTTCTTGATTCCAAAAAGGTTTATATGCCTTCTGGCTGCCCCTTGGAATGGCTTTTGACGCTGCATTCAGGATTGCTTGAGTAATGTCTTTACAAAAAGTTTCCACACAGCTGTTGTCAATTCTTCCCAGGAGGCGGTCAGATGTTTCCTGAAATAGTTTCCAGTTTGCTTTTAGGAAATTCCAACGGGTTCTCTGCTTGAAGCGTAATTTAGCGGTGGTGCTTACAGTTGTGAGTATAGGTTTGTGGTCACTTCCTATGTCATCCAGGACTTGGGGATAGCTTGCGTCTGTTAAGTCGGATGAGCCTATTGTCAGGTCTGGTCGGCTGAGAGATAGGTGGGCCCTGTGTAACAGTGTAGGTGTAGACTCTGTGTCCTGCAGCACTAATAGGTTAGTTGTTTCACAAGTATCTTCGATGTATTTCCCTGTGCTATTGTAGTCAGGGTAACCCCAACGTGGCGAGTGTCCGTTGAAGTCACCAACAAGAAGGGTTTTATGGTACTGTGTCTTGTATAGTTCTGGTATGTTGCATGTTGTCTGAGGTGGGCTGTACACGTTGTATATCGTATATTTGCTTCCATTGTGCCAGATAGTTATTTTTTGCACATCTGTAGGGTGAGATGTCCTTAGCATTGTTACATCTCCTTGTATGTCATTTCTGATATAGGTCACTATGCCCCGGCAGTCATTGCACTTACAGGCATAACTAGTATATCCAGTGAGATGCAGATCAGAGTCTTTATGCAGGGTTTCTTGTAGGGCAGCCACGTGTACCCTGTGGTTGTTTAGCAGTTTGGCAAGTTCAAGTTTCTTATTTCTTATTCCACAGATGTCCAGCTGCAGAATATTGAGCATCTGTGTATTTTTTGCTGTGCTGTCTGAGTTCTCTTTGCTCTCCCTCCCACTCTTCCTCCTCCTGGGGTGTCTGATTTTCCTATTTATTTCAAATTTTCCAGTAGCCAATTTTTCGCACATGACAGCCTGGTTTCCCACTGTCTGGCGCGGGCCTTGATAGACGAGGCGACGACAGATCTCGTATGTATTCTTAAATTTTGACATATTCATGGCATTGTGGTGCTGGGGTGTCTGTGGATTACCTACCTCCCCGGGCAGCAGCTAGAAATGCCCTGTACCAGTTCTAAAGGAAATATGGGTTGTGTTTCTGCCTTCCCCTTTAACACGTAACTAAGGTGGGGCTCACAGTGTGCTCATTCCCTCCACCAGATTGACTGCAGGTTTCACTGAGCTCTTCATGGCTCTAAGCATGGCCTAAGCATG